CAATTCTAATTAATTAATGCAGACACTCTTTTGAGTTTAGTTCCCAAAGCAAGTCTATGTATTTTTCTCTTAGAAACAAACTAGAAGAGACATACTAATGTCTTCTGGCAAACATATTTACTAGAATGTGAATCCCACTGAAAAATGTGAAATTACATCTAAAATAAGATACTGACTTACAGTCTTATAAGAAAACGACATAGCTCTTGTTAGTAAGATATTTCTTTAAATACCATATTTTTATTTTTATTTTCTTTAGAGAATAAACTCCTTTAGCTGATCCTTGTTTTTTATAGCTGTGTTTCTTCACAAACAAAACAGCTTTACAAATTTGACATAGTACACTTTTTTTTACTTGCCAACCCATTAAAATATTAGATCAAATAACTGTGATAAAAGTTGGTAAAAGTTGTACCAGCTGGCCTAAACTGCTGAAGGCCCCAAAACCTTTGTCAACCCCAGTGCCATTGGTGCCAAGGAGCAGCTGTGCAGATTGTCCAAAAGGGAAGGGATGGGGGGGTGAGGTGATAAGCAAGTGGTGGGAATTAAAGAAGAGACAGTCCTTTATCTTCCCTTGCCTTCTTTTATCAAGGCTTGGGTCTGGGAATGCCTTGTATCAGGGTAATCCTTGCCTAATGATCACTGGGATTCAGATAACAACTGGGGACTGCCAGGATTGCTGTCATTAGAGGATGCAGTTGCTTGACATTGTGCTTTATGACAACATTGTATAGTTCCAGTCCTGATTACTATTGTACCTTGTGGACTACCTGCATAGCTTTTAATACCAACTCCTGAACATTGATATCTAATAACCAGATAGTTTCTCATAGTTTGGACTTTCTTAAGACCGATCTGACAACTATAAATATGCAATACGGATGCATCTTTCTCACCTCTGCCATGACCATATCCTGACACTTTTTAATGAACTTCCCTTCAGCCTTAACAATTGTCTGGAGGAATTTAATGTACTGGACATTCCTTCCATGTGTTTCGATACAGTGCACAAAGTGTTGAACCACTCTCTCATTAATTTCACTGCAAAGCTGGAAATTATTCATGAAGATATGCTGCATCGTCACGGCTTCCAGGATCTATTAAAGAGCAAAACAATAGAAATAACCATATTAACCACTCAACAAGAGGTGCTGCACATTGGATTTAGAAATTCAGGAATCTGGCATTCCACATATCCTGGCACTGGTTAATGAGACAGCTTTATCCATACCTTTCAGCTTCTTGGGATTATTTTCTTATAGATTACTAATCTACACCAAACAAGACAGAGTGTCAAACACAGGGAAATCAGTAGATCCAGGCATTTGAAACGAATATAAAGATTTATTGCAAGCTTAAACTCTCTACAAGTATCTGAACTGCTAACCGTCAAGCAAATTGATGGTAGATAAGAGTCAATGGAATTCAAGGTAGGCTGGATTTAGATCTCTTGTGGGCATGAAGCGACTCATGATTGGGGACACATTTCACCTCGGGCTCAAACTGGTCATCTCCTACAGCAGGGGTGTCAAACTCAATTTAATTGAGGGCCACATCAGGATTGTGTTTGACCTTGTGGGAGGCAAGGTGCGTGACCATCTTGACCTCACTTGTGTTGGGGGCACCTGTGGTGGCCTGGGGCAGGGCTGGGGGAATCCATTGTCTTCAGCGGAGGAAGGGAAGACCAGGGAAAGGGCCAACCCTTGTCCCTCTCAAGCCACAAGGGGACCCCCAAAAGGTGGTACAGGCTATCCAGAGCCATAAGCAGCAGCCTCCCCAAGCTCTGTTTTCACTAGCAGAGGGCTGCAGAGGGGTCCATTTTCACTGGCGGAGGAACCACAGGCCAGTCCGCTGTTTCCAGGATGTCCCCACAAGCCAGATCTAAGCACCCTGTGGGCCAGATCTGGCCCATGGGCCTTGAGTCTGACACCCCTGTTCTACAGAGTCTGCCAATGACCAATTTGAGAAAAAAGAAACAACCAGAAAATGAGCTATTCCTGGTTGACATGCTATACCATTCTTGGAAAAACATACACCACAGGTTTCATAAATACGTTGAACCACATCTCATTCCTTCTGCTTTATTTCCCACCACATAATTTGAACTGCAGCTTCCCGAGCTACTGAATATGCTAGATACGATAGAAGATATGTAACTCAAAAAAATTGGTGGGCGACCCAGTGTGCCAATGAAGAAAAAGCTTGAGGGGAGTCTTAGGACTTGTTGCCTGTTTTTGTGTTCTTAGGCATGACGCAGAAATGAGGATTTCAAAATTGGATTTGTATTCAGAAAACTCTCAGCACTACCCAACAACCTGGGACAAATATAAAACAGGTTTATGGAATAGACTTTAATTAAATTACTTCTTACCCCAGGGTTGAGAAACAGATTTATATGCTTGTGTAGCAAAGCCTGATTTTGTTGATTGCCAGCACAGAAGTTCTGTAGAAACTCATGGGCCAGTTTCATGATCTCCTGCATGCGTATATCTTCAGCCTATGATTATAACATTAAAAAAGTAAATCTCCCAAAGGATTAAGAATACAATAGCTTCAGGATGACCTAATGTAATAGTTGTACATTGGGATTAGGCAAATAGAATCCAAGCCTGTACATTATAGTTATATGAAGCAAATTAAAGAAAACAGGGTAAGGTTCTGTGAGGTTTAAAGGATTAAGTTGCAAAGTGATGTAACATGTTGGCATTACAAGGTTTCTAAATATTTCATAGCCAATTACATCACAGATCCTTTTATTAATGGGAAGGATAAATTCACCTTTTAAAACTATTTTAGCCAAGATTTCCAAAGTTCTTTTTTGAAGATCCTCATACCATTTAGCTAGCAATCAACATACATATACACAATCGTTAGAGCGTTTAAACATCACTACTTAGAAATTCCTTACTCCCTTACATGAGTTGGATTTTTGGTCAACTCAAGGCATCATAAATACCTAATGCTCCCTTTCCCTTATTTTCTCTATAACTCAATTTTCTCATATACACAATCGTTAGAGCGTTTAAACATCACTACTTAGAAATTCCTTACTCCCTTACATGAGTTGGATTTTTGGTCAACTCAAGGCATCATAAATACCTAATGCTCCCTTTCCCTTATTTTCTCTATAACTCTTAACCTTGTGCAGTGGGTTGGACTGAGAGAAAACAACTGCCTGTCAAGCCTGGAAGCCATCTTTTGCATTGGGCCTTCCGGCCTGCCACAATTAATGCTGTGGGAAAATAGGAGGGGGATTATATGGAGTATGGGAGATATATAGTCAAAATAACATTCCTTTCTCAGAGAGTCAAGGACATCTTACCCTGCACCTGGAGTGATGTGACTGGGAGGCATCTCCAGTTAGGACAGTGCCTGATTGGCCCATGTGACGGACGTGTGAGTGCTGGGCAGGAACTTGGACTTTCATTTGTGTGGGGAAAACCTGGAAGCTTTCAGATTTGGGTTTTTCCAGATGGGCCAATATGACATCTCTAATAAAATGGAGCTTTGAGGAACTTCAAGGAGTGTTACTTGGAACCCTGACACTGGCCCAATGAAGGGGAACTGGATCACCCCCATTTTCAATAGCTTTAAACCTAGAGCACTCAACTGCTCTGTGCGTCTTCTTACTATTCATCCTTTGTGATGCTTTGCTTCTCTTACTGAATGCTTCAAAACTATATACATTTACCAGTTTTCAATTGGGAAGAAAATAAGCTACACAGATTACAATATTAATTTCTATACATAACTGAAGGACTAGGTATTGCTTTAGACGCTTCGTGGACATTTATATCTCATTCTCAATAAAAACCAAATTATTCTGGGTTTACTTTTATTCATCCTTCTAATAGAGAAAACTTTGGCAGAAATTGTGTCTAATGTTGCTTCAATAAGCAATAGAGCCATGATGGCACAATCGCTAGAATGCATTATTGCAGGCTGATTCTGCCTGCAGACAGGAGTTTGATCCTGACCAGCTCAAGGTTGATTCAGCCTTCATCCTTCTGAGGTCAGTGAAACAAGTCCCAGAGGAGGAAAATATGCTGACTCTGTAAACCTCTTAGAGAGGGCTATAAATCACTTTGAAGCAATATATGTCTAAGTGCTATTGCTAAGCATTAAATGAATAAACCATTTCCAAAGTTATAGAGACTTAGCACCAGCAGTTTCTTTGATGCTCAGTGCCATTTATAAGAGGTGGTCTTTAGATGGAATTAAAAGTATGAAAATACTTTGTCGACAAAGTTAAAGTAAAAGATGCATGCAAACCTCACTTTCTCATAGGGGATTTGTAAGAGTTCCAGTACCACCGCATGAGCCCCCATGTTTCGGAGCAATCTCTGCTGCTGTTTCCTGCTTTTCCTGACCAAGATACTCTCCTGGACACAAAGCTTGCTAAGGCGAAGCAAAATCTGCAAATAAATATTCCTTTTAGAAACTGATTTTTCTCCCCAGACAAGGCAGAAGAAAAACTCTTTCTTCAACAGAAAAAAGAATGATACAAAACAAAGAGTTTGGTTTTAAGAGCAAAACAAGAAAATGAACTGTTTAAATGAGGTAGCAATTTTGTTAGGATTGCAATGAATATAAGGAAAACAAGCTTCTATCTCTTCATATTTCAGGAGAAAAAATACAGCAAAAAAATTCATCCAAATCTCAGAATCTTCATGTGGATAAATCAATATTTCCAGGGGCTGACACTGTATCTGCATTGCTCTAAACCAGGGATCGGCAACCTTAAGCATTCAGAGCCACAAAAGTCCAAAATAGAAGCCATCCATTCAATTCTGGAGCTGACTGGAAGTCCTGTTCCCCATCATAGAGTCTCCTCCTAGAGCAGCATCCTTTTTCCTTTTGCTTGTCCTAACCGAAAGCCCTATCAATTTTAGAGCTGACCGGCGACAGGGAGCTGCAGCAGAGGGATGAAAGTGCCACATGCGGCTCCAGAGCCGTGGGTTGCTCACCCCTCCTCTAAACAATATCAGTTCTACAAGATACAATCTGGTTCGATCATTGGGTAACCAGTAGTTTTGTCTTCCAAGCTTTTGGACATGTACTGGAGCCCTTCCTCAGGGAACTTCTCTCTAGCAGAGTGTATTGTCTACTTTTCATAAATTGGAGAAGCAGAGTAATTGACAAAAATGCTTAATTTGTCAATCTAGTTTTTTTTTCTGTTTGAAATGAGGAAAGGGAAGAGAGAGGCAAGAGAGAATCTGACCATATACCTTACACATAGTTTAAAGGTAGAAATTATATAACAAGCCTGCATTCCTGTTCTTTCAACACAGCCCCTAGCATACATGGGAGTACATATTGGGATTAATTTAAAGCTATTTGCCCAATTTAAATGCAAATGAAGATATACAGATCACACATATTATCAACACTTTGTTTTGCCTAAGTTATCACATCTTTAGCTTGTTAAAATCTAGTTATACCAAGTTATAATCTATAAGATTGTTAACAAATATTTATCCCTGTAGTTAACATTTAGTTGTTCCTTAGGAACCCAAACACTTTAACCTCAGTAAAAGGTAAAGGTTCCAATCACACACACATGCTAGTTGTTCTCGACTCTAGGGGGCAATGCTCATTTCTGTTTCAAAGCCGAAGAACCAGCGCTGTCCAAAGGCGTCTCCGTGGTCATGTGGCCGGCATGACTAAACGCCGAAGGCGTGTGGAACACTGTTATCTTCCCACCAAAGGTGGTTCCTATTTTTCTATTTGCATTTTTACATGCTTTCGAACTGCTAGGTTGGCTGAAGCTGGGATAGGTAACGGGAGCTCACTCCGTTATGCGCTACTGGGGATTCGGACAACTGAACTGCCAACCTTTCTGATCAACAAGCTCAGCGTCTTAGCCACTGCATCCCTTTTAACCACAGAGTCCCATGTATTCCAGCAACTACCTTTTTATCTCCCCTAAGTCAAAGAATATTTTACATTCAAACAAAAACACAATTACTGTGTTACACATTTAAAATTCTTCAACATACACATAAAAGAAAAAAAGAGTACAGAAGAAATAGATATTTGGGAATGGAAGAATCTTACCTCTTTTACTACCCTATAATTGTAGCTACTAGTGCTTTCCGGTTTAGAGGATTTGCTGCGACCTTCCTAGGAGACAAACAAGATCAATACATTAAATTGCTTTTTAAAATTCTGGAGTTCATGAATATACACTTTGAGCATTTTTTTTTCTTACCAGAACTCTCCAATGTTTACTACTGCAGTAAGGTTTTGCCTAAACTGAGGCATTGAGAAAAGGCAGATGGAAGTTCTAACAAAATCTTGAATATATATGAAGATTCTTTTCTTCGTGTAAGATCGATTCCTATCCTATCATTAATTATCTAGTAATAGTTATTGAAGGCATATAGCACAATTTTCTTTCCTTTTTGTCAACCTTACAGTAATACTATAGCAATTTTTCAATTACCACTTAGGTTTTAGGACTGTATGTTTAATGCTATTATTACAGACTAAAGATTGAGACCTGCTGACATTGTACACATACGCTTCTAAGTCAATATTTTTTCACCATGCCACTAAATATTTTTTTCAGTTTACAGCACATAACCAAGGATTAATTTGCATATGGATTTAAAGGAGGCAAGAATGTTAATATGACAGGAGACATTCAAATTTTAGAGTAAAAAAACTAGTAACAAACAAACAAACACCAGTACTCTATTAACTCTATAACATGAACTTCTAGGGGTTTTTTTTTATTCTTTACATTAACCTATTATTGGAATGTTGACTGTTCATATTTATGCCAAAACACTTAATTTTTTTAAACTAAAAGAATTTTGTATTTATGACCTGTAGATTTTAATTAAAATAAGTGGCATAATTTCTCAGCCTTACTTCATGGGGGGTCTAAGGTAGGCCATTTTAGTACTTGGTCAAGAAGCTGTGGTTGGTGTGTGTGTGTGTGTGTGTGTGTGTGTGTGTGTGTGTGTATTTGTGCATTTGTGTCTTACCAAGAGTTGTTCAGCTACAGTTCTCAGCTCCACTGACTATGCTGATATAGTTGATGTTTTAAGATGTGCTGTAGTTCACCCAACTTTGTCAAATGACAGTGTATTCAAATAAAAGAACCTTTGAGCTTATGCTTTAGGCCTAACACAATAGGTGAAACTCCTAAACTACTAATATTATTGGGAAAGGCTTTAGTGCTTCTTTAAACTAGTTACATTTTATGTACAACTATAACTACTATACTATAGATTGGAGTAAAGGGTTAGAATATGAAATGTGGGCATTTTCTGGCATAGTAAGAAAAAAAAGTGCCCCATAAATGCCACAGCATATGCTTAACAACCACTGTGAAAAATGCCATAAAGTCTAGCATGGTCATGTGACAATCCGCATTATGATTGTCATACCTAACCAAAATTGTAGGCTCAAATACTTCTACTTGTATTGGAAAAGAAGAGGACCTCTGGCTAAAACTTGGGCTTAGTAATCAAACTTGATGGGATTGGAGGACAGAAAATAGTTTGGCTTAGTATTTCAAAGATAATTTGTTTCAAGCCTTTGAAAAATTAACACTAAACTATCAATACACTTTATGCAGGAAGAGGGACAATATTTTTTATTAAATAAATGTTATCTATTTATTTGATTTTTGGAAAAACTACATTATACTGTACCGGAAGATTCATTCAACTACATCTTGATCAATGATGCCTAACCTTTTCGTCACAAAGTGTCGAAAGCGCGTGTGTACGTGCACACACCCATAATACAATGTACGCATCAGCCCCCATGACCCGTGTGCATGCACGCGCGACCCTGTATGCACTCCACCCCCTGC